GCGGGGATGAGAGATATGCAGGCTAGGTGGGCCACCCTCGCTGACCTCGTTGAGGGGGTGATTCCGAAAGCCAGGCGACTGGAGGATGTAGCTGAGGCATCCACACCACCTCCTGAACGCCCCGCCCCACCATCATCCATACCTCCACAGTCAGAGAGGGGGATGTCTGTTGGCGACTCCCCGCCGGCGACCACGTTGGAGCCCCCGGCGGAGGGCACAGAGGCCACTGATGGACAGGTGGACGTCGAGATGTTGGACGTGGATCCGGAGGGGGAGGCTGAGGGTGAGGCTAAGGGGGATGCTGAGGGTGAGGGTGAGGGTGAGGGTGAGGGTGAGGGTGAGGGTGAGGGTGAGGCGGAGCATGAGGGGGAGCCTGGTGTGGATGCGGCAGCATCACCGAAGGAGACTGAGGTGACTCCCGCCGCCGTTGAGGTGCCTGTTGATACCACGGCCAATGAACCCGCAAGCCCTCAAGACACATCGAATCCCAAGCGAAAGCTTGATGATGACGCGGAGGATGCCCCTGTCGAAAAGAAGAAGAAGAAGGCCGCCGCCACCAAGAAGAAAGCTCCCGCACGTCGTAAAGGTCGGTCCAGGCCCGCGGACGCTGATGCCACGCCCCCACAAGACGTAGATGAGGAGGGAGAACAGGTTGAAGGGGAGTAAAGGTTTTCTTGCATCACCTCTTTGTGCGTCTGTAAGCCCGGCGGACGCCATTCTCTTCAATTTTTTGATGTATATACCGCCCGGCGGGCGCCTTCTTTCTTGCAATTTCTCCCCGCCGGCCTCATTTTTATATATATCCTGTCATACAATGCTCAATAATATCTTGTCCACGTCGTTGAAGTGGTGTGATATTTGCAAATGATAGCATAAGTAATTTACAATTGAGCTCCCTTCCTTTTATTGGCCTCTCTCTCTTTTTCCAAACGAAGTTGTGCCGGCGGGGCCACATTGTACTTACGCTTGGGCGTTCGAGCAGACTTCCTCACAATGAAGAGGTCGTCCTCTCTATCCCGCTGCTCCTCTGGAGTCTCATCCAGACCTCTGTTTGCATTAACCACTGCCGTTGGCTTTTTTCTTGGTTTCGGCTTGGGCTTGATTCTCGTTCTCTCTGCATTAGTCTCTCCCCCGCCGGTGTTAAACGGAATATTGCGACTGTTGCCGCCGGAGGCAATGTCACTCCCGTTGCCGGCGGCGTCATCTTTACGTCTGCGCGTCGCTGCAGCCTTTTTTCGTGATGTTTGTTTGTCAGCTGCTTTCCTTTTCCCCTTTTTGTTGTATCTAGGTGGGAGTGTCTCCAGATCCTCATCTGAAACTGGTGGAGACGGAGCCGCAAGGGACAGGCGTGATATAAGCGCTCTCCGCCGTTCATTTCTAGCTCCAGGAGTGTCGGTGGATGGATCAGATGATGGCTCTTCTGAGTATGGTACGACAGGTCGTTTCTTTTTGCCTTTTCCTAATGGTGGGTCTGATTCAACGTCAGGTGGGGGTAAATGGGGGTGCCCCTCATCGACAGGTGGAAGGTCTGGATCCTGGACTGGATTCTCTTGGATTGCTTGACTTTGTATGGGAAGCGGAGGTGTCACCGCCGCTGGAAGATCGATATCGCAAGGCTCAGGCGGAGAATAAGCCATCGGAGGAGTGATTTCGAGAGTGATTTCGAGGGGCACCATTGGAGGCCGAACAAACAACCTGCCTAGTTGAGGAGATGGCCTACTGCTTTGATTAACTTCAGGTAAATTTCTAGAGAGGGATGCAGCTGTAGTACTGTCAGGAGGGACGCTTGGAACCTCCGGCGGGGACGCTCTGGCCCGTTCAGGAAGGACACTGACTGCCTCCGCCGGGGACGCGGGCAAGCGGGCCGTCGGGGACATGACCAGTAGGGTATCAACTGAATAAAAGGAGGGTTTAAGCCTTTCTGCATCAATGTAAAAGTTGAATCGAAATGTTCAGAAG